ATATAAACGATTGTTAAATTGATATCTATCATTTTTTCAATTATTACTTTTATGCCGTTAAATGCATAAACTTTTTGTTGTTTTATATCAACAAAATTTTTCAGTTTTCGACATATCAAAAATAAACTTCGAACATTCAACGAAGTTTGTAGTACATCACCGCACCAAGTGACTCGGGTAGGTTAAACTAACTTGTTGATTTTTGCTTTTTTTATCGTTATTCTAAATTTCCGCTTTAGCGGATAGACAAATAATAATGGTAGAAAGTCTAGTTGTGAGTGATCGAAACTAACTAATTAGTAGAATAAAGTTTTTGATCAAAAAATTGGTAAAAAGTGTTTTTTGGCTTTTTCTTTTTTAGTCTTTAAAATTTTTCACTACTGCTTTCTTTTGTACTTTTTTCTTATCGTTAAATGGTCATTGTTTTAAAGTTTAAAACTAAATTTCTAGAACAAAATTTTTGGTGACATAGATAGATTTTGTTTACCTTATTGGAAGATATTTGCTTACTTAAACCAAGTGTTCTTATCTCATTGTAATTAACATTTACATTGTATAAAATTAAAAAAGTATATAAGTACAGATAAGCAAAAAAAAGTTTTTTAGTTTAATTTTACCTTTTTTTTTCCTTAAAGTTGGTTACCGAAATGCATGCTTCAATGCAAAAATTGGTGTTACAACATGAAGAACTTCGAGAGCAAATGGACCTGATCAAAGCTGTTCTGTTGAAGCGTGATGATTTTTTGAAAGGTTCCAGGTACTGTTCTCTACTTCTGTTCTTCTCTCAAGCAGTTTACTCGTTCTCAACAAACTTTCAAGGAAAAAACCTTTAAAAAGTGGTACAATTTTTTGAAAAACTAGAAAAAAGAGAAAAAAGTAAAATGTAGAGCAAGAAAATCGAAAAAAGTGGAAATCAGAATTATCACATTTTGGAAAAGATCATTACTGTTTCTATAAGTTGTCATTAATTTTCCTCTCAATTTCTGTTTGCCTTATAAAAAGACATTCATACAATCTTGAAAAGAGGGAACAAAGGAAGAAATGTTAAAGTGATCTGTAGTCTATGCTTCTTGTTGGAAAGAAATCTGTTTCGGCTGAAACAGTTCTTGTTTCAGGGAAGGAATATGGCTGAGCATCGATTCACACGAACAAATTGCCCGAAATTTGAGCGTCAAGAACAGTCGATGTCGTCGAGATTCTCAAACTCCATTAAATGTGGACATTTAAACTGCTGGAAAAATATCTTAGTTTAATCTAAGTCGCGGGTGAGAAAACAGTGAGGAAACTGGTAAAAAAATCCTACACCTACCTGTAGACATGTCTTTTTTCACGCAGCATTCTTCCCGTTCCAATGCTCTTGTTTTCCATCTTATCTGTGCTGTTCATCAACAAGTCAGGATACGAGGAGGCCACAGCTATTGCAGCGGTGAAATCGAAAAAAGTTTATCGAAAGTTGCTCAAAATTTAAATTTATTTACAAAAATTTTTTTTTAATACATTTTTTGTGTTTGCGATTCTGACGTGTACTACCAAAAAGCACCCTACCAAATGCCTTTTCACATAAGTCTGTTATACTTTTATGCCGCCACAATCGGAAATGTGTCGTTTTTTTGCTAATAAAAATTTTAAAAATTCCACACTTTTTTTTGCCCTGAATCAGTCAGTCTACTGAGAGATGTTTCGAAAAAAAAAA